CACACAAAAATTGTCAATTTCACTTGTAACAGCAACAGAAAATAAATTGAAAAAGTAAGCACAAAATTTAAGAAAAAAATAGTGAAAAAAAAACGATAAAACGATGTAAAACAAATAAAACATCCAGCAGTTAGATAGATATATTAATGAATAGAATACGAACCCATTTTACAACGACGATAGTTGCAGTTAGTATTTTTTTTTTTTATGGGAGAGTGGAGGGGATTGAAGGAGGAGGGGAGGGGAGGAAGGACAGTGACAACGATGCTATCGTTGTTGACGCTACGGCTTCTACTACTACTACTACTACAGCTGCTAACTATAAAGCTTAGTCTAGTTGCATGACTGCCTCTGTTTAGTTTTCCTTGTTGTGGGTGCTTTTTTGAAAAATAAACAGCAACAAAGTTTTGTTTTGATCAATGATTGAAAATGTCTCAGTTTTATTGACCATTGTCAAAAGTTTTGAAAAATCGCAAAACAGCAAAATAATCAGTGCTTGACCAGGCTCAAATAATTAGACGAATAATTACTTGGTCAGAAAACATCAACTAGCGAAGTCAATAAGAATATCAGCAGTAATAGCATAGGAATTTGACTTAATCAAAATGACAGTAATTAAAAATTTCATAAAATTCTGTCTGGTAGCACCTGTGTTGCATAGTTTTCTTTTTTTTTTCCAGTTCTATTTCCTTATTTATTACCTTTTTCTAGAAGAGCTAAAAATACGATAATGTACAAAAAAAAAAAATTTTCAAAGCAAAAAAGCTGTTTAAATTTTTGTTATATTTTTTAACCTTTAATTAGTCTTAAGTTTTATTTATTCATTTGTCTTTTTGTTACCGTCGAAAAGAAAAATAACGAAGTAAAGCAAAAAAAAAAAAGTTGAAGAAACTTTCTTCCTTATGCAATCAAATAATCATTTAAGTGCCTTCTTTTTCTTCCTTCATCACTGCTTTCCAATTTCTTTTTTTATTATATATAATTTCTTGTATTTTTTTTTCCCTTAATTTACTGTTATGCTTTTTTTTTGTCACTTTTCTTCGTTTTCAGATTTATTTTAACAAAATTGCTTATTTAGTGTGTATATTATATTTGCAGGGTTAAATTAAAACAAAAACAACTATTTTTTGAAATCTCTTTTTTATTCTTCGTTTTTCCTCTTCCTACTTCTATTCTCAGTCGTATTTTTATATATCTATCAATTTCTTTTCCTCTGAAAATTAAACCTTTACTTCGTTTTCTCTTTTTTTTTTT